ATCTATCTATCTATCTTTTATCTCTCTATCATCTTATCTATCTCTTATTCTTTTCTTTATTCTTTTACTTTGGCTTGGTATATAAAGAACAAACCCACTCATTCAAATCAAAAGTATGGTCATCATAGATCATTCTCTTGACTGTAGAGAACACCTTGGAAGATAGAAGAGCAGCCCATTCTGAAGAAATGTTTCCTATCCAGCATTAAAACTGGCAATATGTTCTTCTAGGGAAACATTTGAACAAAGCTTGCTATGGTCACTTTAAAAAACTGGGTTTCCGGTGTCACCACGCTTGGCTGTGTCCTTGACCACACAGAGACTCTGTCTGCCATGTGATCAGATTAAAGGCGTGTGCTACCACCCCCTGACTTCTGTTTATGCCTATTTGACCTTCGATCTCCAGGCAACTTTATTTATTAACATACAAATAAAATACTACATTTCAGCGCAAAAAAAAAAAAAAAACTGGGTTTCCTAAGCTAGGATTTTTCAAGTCTGATGCAAACATCCTGTGTATATAGTACCCATCAGGGTTAACCTCCACATCACCCCTATGATACTTTGTGGACATTTTGATCAGATGCACATTTGTAAACATGGAAATTCATGGTTCCTATGAGCAATAAAGTTCGTACCTCTGACAGGAGTCTTGCATCTTCTACCAGCAACCATGAGATTAAGGCAAGCTAAAACCACAGATTCTGTAATTTACTTTATGAAAGAATATAATACAAATACTCAAAAGGACATAAATAATAAGTATACCATTGAATCTTCAGAAAACGGACTGAGCCAATCAGTGAGTGTTGTGGAATATTCCTTTACATTGTGTGAAGATGTGTCACTGTGATTGGTTTAATAAAAAACTAAATGTCCAATAGCTAAGTAGGGAGGTATAGGCAGGAATTCTGGACAGAGAGCTCTGGGAAAAAGAAAGGCAGAGTCGCCAGCCAGATGTGGAATAACCAGGATGGGCATAATGGAGATAAGGTAATGAGTGTGTAGAAAAACATAGATTAAAAAATATGGGTTAATTTAAGTTATAAGAGCTAGTTAGAAACAAGCCTAAGCTAAGGCCGAGCTTTCATAATTAATAATAAGTTTCTGTGTCATTTTTTTCTGAGCTGGCAGCCCCCAAAGAAAAGTCCGTCTACAAGTGAGTAGTGCGCCTTTGGGGTCTCAGCTTCAGTTTCCACCTCTAGGCTCCTGCCTTGAGTTTCTGTCTTGGCTTCACTTGATAGTGGACTGTAACCTGTCTGCTCAAATAAATCCTTTCCTTCCCAAGTTGCTTTTGGTCATGGTGTTTTATCACAATAACAGATCAGAAATTGGTGCCAGACAGTGGGATCTTGCTGTGATAGACGTGACCATGTTGGTTTGGAGAAGGGCTGTAGAAGCATTTGGCTGGGAAAGCTATTGAGCAGTGGGAACTTGAAAGATAAGAATGTTGATGGAGTTTGAGGGCAGCTTGTTCTACATAGTGAATTCCAGGATAGCCAGAGCTACACAGAAAAACTCTGTCTTAAAAAAATGTTGATGGAAATGCAGATGGTTGAGGCCTGGCTTGTGAAGCTTCAGAGGGAGGCAAAGACCCTATTAGGCTGTTCATGTGATAGTTTACATTAGCAATTTGTGGAACAAGTGAAACCTACTCGTGCTTCATTGTGACAGTTGATGTTGACTATCTGGGGCTAAAAACAAAGACTTCTGTAATTAATTAGAGACCAGCATCATTGAGGCAGAATATTCTGGGAAGTGTGCCGCGTCCAGCATACCTTGGTCTAGAAACCTGACTGGGGCAATGAGGGAATAAAGAAAAGGACAGGCAGGCAGACATACAGAAAAGCTTGGAATCAGGTGGTGGGCTATGCTCATGCTGATGGAGGGGCACCCTCTAAGCATGCTCTGGAACCTCATTGCATTATTATGCACATCACAGGAGGGAGGCTCAGCTAGTCTCAGTAGGTGGTTTCTGTGGGACTGCAGTCTCAGGTTACAGTCATCTGGGAGCAGGAAGTTGCAATGACTAGTTTTGCAGATACTGGTCAATCCTTTCTAAATACTCTTGGACCAGAGGAAGGCTTTGCCAGTTTCCTCTGCACCTCACCTGGTGTGTTGGCTAGTTTTATGTTAGCTTGACAAAAGCTAGCGTCATCTAAAAGGAGGGAACTTCAATTGAGATAATGCTTCCATAAGATCAGGCTGTTTGTCATTTTCTTAACTAGTGATCAATGGGGGAGGATCCAGCCTGTTGTGGGTGGTGCCATCCCTGGGCTCGTGGTCCTGGGTTCTATAAGAAAGCAGGCTAAACAAGCCATGAGGAGCAAGCAAGTAAGCAGCACCATCAGAGTCCGAGAGAAGTCCCATAAAAGACCACCAGTCATGATGTAATCAGCAAGAACGTTTATTAAAAATTACCCACGTGTTGGGGGTCTAACTATCTGACAAACTGGCAAAGAGCGAGCCTGAGAGAAACTCACAGGCTCCTTTTATACACAGCTGAAGGAATTCTAAGGCCGTTTGGGTCACTTTACGATTGGCTTAAGCAAGTGGCAATCTTATTAGTACATTTCTAATTGGTTAGGGCTATGGGGGGTGGGAAGGCTAAGGCTATAGCTTTTCCATTCTTGGGCAAGTCTGGACAAGTCCCAGGCTATGTCCTTAGTTGGTTATTATCTGTGAGGCATGAGGGGGAGGGGTTTGCCCAGGTCTAGTATGTGCAGGAACTGAGGTCTAGTTCTTAACTGAGTTATTAGGAGCTTGTCATGGTTTTTGCCTGGCCTTCTCAAGCGCTCCTCCATGGCCTCTGCATCAGTTCATTCTCCAGGTTCCTGCCCTGCTTGAGTTCCTGCCCTCAGTGCTTTTGATGATGAACTGTGTGGTGGTTTGAATAAGAATGGCCCCCATAGACTCACATTTGAATGCTCAGGGAGTGGCATTAGGTGGCATGCCTCCTTGTTGGAGGAAGTGTGTCACTAGGGGTGGGCTCTGAGGTTTCAAATGCTCAAGCCAGGCCCAGTATCTTCCTGCTGCCTGTGATCTGGATGTACAACTCCCAGCTCCTTCTCCGGCACCATGTCTGCCTGTCCACCACCATGCTTCCCACCATGACAATAGTGGACTAAATCTCTGAACCTGTAAGCCAGCCCCAGTTAAATGTTCTCCTTTATAAGAATTGCTGTGGTCCTGGTATCTATCTATTCATAGCAAAAGAAACCCTAAGACAAACTGCTATATGGAACTGTGAGTTAAATAAACCCTCTCCTCGCCAAGTCGCTTTTAGTCATGGTGTTTCATCACAGCAATAGTAACCCCTCACTAAGACACCTGGAGAAAGGCTTTGCCAGTTACCATAGGTTTGAGGCACTGGGGTCATGGACACAGCTGTGCCCATGTCAACAATACACATTCACACAGGACTTCATCCATCCTTTACACATGTTACTCAGGCTTTCCTCCATGCCCATATGGAAGTATATCTTTAGGGTCTGCTGTAGGAGGATCCTTCTATATGCTGTGAATATGTATTACTCTCATTGGTTAATAATAAAGCTGTTTGGCCTATGGCAAGGCAGGATAAGGTTAGGTGGAACACAGTCAAACTGAGGACTGGGATGAAGGAGGGCAGAGTTGGAGGAGACATTAGCGAGTTGCCCAAGAAGCAAGAAGAATGCCAGAGGACTGGTAAAGCCATGGACCAAGTGGCAATACATAGATGAATAGAAATGGGTTCATTTAAATATAAGAACTAGTTAGTAATAAGTCCGAACTATTTGTAATTAATATAAGCTTTTGTCTGTTTATTTGGGTCCAAGTGTTCGAGACAGAAAAACTCCACCTCCATTTACAAGGGTCAGCACATAGAAGCTGTGGTTGGGCTAATGGAGGGACAGAAAGCCAACAAGCTGGCAGCAGAGCTTGTCAAATATTGTAGAAGAGTCTCCCACATGATACTGGTTTTGAGGGCAGGGAGGGTTCGTGGAAAGCCTCGAAACTTGGCACTGTGTGAAAAACATTGCTCACACACAGCCATGTGTTTTATAGTTTACCCGTCAGGCAAAGTGAGTGGGCATTTTTAAACTGCTAACTAATGTAGGAGGGCCTAGCTCACCGTGGATAGTTTTCTCCCTAGGCAGGTAGGCCTGGGTTGTACAGTTGAAGTAGCTGAGCAAGCCAGCTGTATGTGGGCATTACTTCCATTGGTGAGGACAGACTAGCTCCCACCTCTTCATACTTGGTGAAGAAGTTTCAGAATGAATTTTATAGGAATAATATATTAGTTTCTTTTCTGTTGCTGTGATTAAAAAAAAAAAATACCCTAACAAAAGTGAGCCAGTAAGTTCCTCCAGGGTCTCTGCATTAGTTCCTGCCTCCAGGTTCCTGTCTTGGCTTCTCTGGATATGGAATATAACCTACAAGCTAAAATAAACCTTTTTCTCCCCAATTTTCTTTTTGTCATGCTTTTATCACAGCAACAGAGAAGCAAACAAGGACAATATTATTGTATGTTTTTTATTATGGAAGCTTTGACCATGGACACAAGTAAAAACAATGGTATGATCCCCTATGCACCCAGGGTCCAGTTTCAAGTGGGTACTTCTGATATTAAATTATAATTACAACTTAGTCACTAAAGAATGAGTCTCTCAGTCTTGACAGAGACCCAAGCAGCACATCACAGCATCTCTCTTCAGCTGAGAAAGAGTGTGTTGAATGACATTTCTGTGGTTTGAATTTTGTGTCTGCGGTTGTTTAAATGAGAAATGTGCGTGCGCGCGCGCACACACACACACACACACACACACACACACACACACACACACACACACATCATGTGCTCATGAACACTTGGTCCCCAGCTGATGGAGCTCTTTGGAAGGTTATGGAACCTGTAGGAGGTGGGGCCTGGCTGGAGGAAGTCTGTCACTGGAGACAGCTTTTGGGGGTATATAGCTTGGGCTCACTTCCTGTTCTCTCCCTGTCTCTGTGTCTTGTAGATAGATGAAAATGTGAGCAGCTAGCTTCTTGTTCCTGTTGCCATGCTTTCCCCACCACGATAGACTATGTCCTCTGGAACGGTAAGCCAAAAGAAACTCTTCCTTCCTTAAATTACTTTTGTCTTTTTTCTCTTTTTTGTCTAATCACTACAAGAGAAAAGTTACTTACTACAGTGTCTCTTCAAAACTCATGCTGAAGCTTCATCCTCAAGTGATAGTGTGGGGCTTTAGAGGAAGTGATTAAAGTATGAGAGCTCCGTCCTCATGAATGGAAGCAATGCCCACATGAAGTGATTACGCAGACCTATGTGATTTATCTCCCACTCTCCATGCTATTATAATTCAGAACATTTTCCTTTCCTCTTTGGGTGATTTTGGCATCTTCGTTGAAAGCCAATGGATTATACACTTGTAGTTCTACACTTGATACTGGTCTGTTACATTGGTTTATGTATGTGTGTTTGAAGCAATATCACCCTATCTTCACTAGTATAATTTCACATTAAGTCTTGAAATCTGGTAGAGACAAAAGTTATCCTAAGTTGCTCTTTTTTCTCTCATGACTGTTTCTGTTAATTTGGATCCTTTACATTTCCATATACATTAAGAATCAGTTTGTTGATTTCTAAATAAAGCTTGCTGGAATGTGGATTAGAAATATGTTGAGTAAATGGGTCAGTAGGGGGAGAATTTCCATCTTTATAATATTGAGCCTTCTAAGCACTGAAAATATTATCTCTTTTATTCAGGTTTTCAGTTTTTCTTTTTCTTTTCTTTCCTTTTTTTTTTGGTTTTTCAAGACAGGGTTTCTCTGTGTAGTTTTGGTGCCTGTCTTGGATTTCGCTCTGTAGACCAGGCTGGCCTCGAACTCAGAGATCTGCCTGGCTCTGCCTCCCGAGTGCTGGGATTAAAGGCCTGTGCCACCACCACCCAGCAGATTTTCAGTTTTTCAAAGTGATATTACAGTACTGGAAGCACGTTGCAACTCTGTTACACTCATCTCTGGGTGTTAGATGTTTTTATGCTATTGCAAATGACATTTCAAAATTCCTTTTTCTAGGAATGGGGTGATGACACAGTGGATAAGAGGACTACAGTTTGGATTTCTAGCACTTATGTAGTACCAGGAGGGCCTGCAGCCTGCTGATCATCCCTCAGGATGCAGAGACAGAGGATCCCCAGAGCAAGCTAACAAGATAGACTAGCTGAGTCAGCAAGCTCTGAGTTCAATTGAGAGACCCCAAGTCAAATATATAAGGTAGAGAGAAATCAAAGAAGATGCCTAATGCCATCTGCCTTTTATACACACAGGCACATACATGTAATTATGCATGCATATATTTATTCCATGCACATATATGCACACAAACATTTTTCCATTTATTTGTTTATGGTACACAGAAATAAAATTATTCTTGTTTGTGGAACTTTTCTAACAGCTTTATTCTATTTGTTCTAGTATAAGTATCTTTGGATTTTCCACAATACAGTGCATCATTTGTGAGTTGAGACAAATGTGTCTTTTTAGGTATTGATGCTCTTGTTTATTTGGTCTGTCTCTTTTATTCTGTTATTTCTTTCTCTTCGGTGCTTGCTGTTTCTTGAAAGTTTTCTTATCTTAGTTTTCAGGGCTCCTATCTGGGGATCTTGTCTGCTTTAGTGTATTTTGTCTCTTGTGTTTCATGGTTGTCTAGAACAACGCCTTTATTCTTCACTTAGGTGACAGGGCATCAGCCATTCATTCAAATACAAACACTGTACAGAATGAGGAGCAGCCTGCATGAGAGAAGATGGAGAGTTGGGATTTGGATCCACTAGTTTGAGATGCCCATTTTCTGAACTGTTCAAGTCACTGGCAGAGAAGTGACACCAGAGAGGGCAGGCTGATTTGTTCACCATCAACATGTATGTGACGTTGGACATGTGGCTAATGATGGCATTACCCATGAGAGTGAATAGAACAAGAAGACTGAACTCTAGGGACATTGTAGAGAAGTGCCCACCAGACCTGCTAACAAGGGAACCCATTAGAGAGCTGACTAAGTGTCATTATAAAAGTCTTCTGGGGTTTGCAAGGGAAGTATCCTGGGATAGAAAATGGAAGATAAAGAGAATGAGGGGTTTGGGCAGTGGGGTGGGGATTGTGAGGCAGGTGACAGTGGGTGAGCAGCATGAGAAATAAAGAGTGCAGATGATTCTTTGTCTAATGAGAAGTCATGCCAAAAATACCTTGGAAGAGCCTGTCTTGAACAGTGCAGAGAGGTTTCCAAAGGAATCAGAGCCTCTTCAACAACCTGGGCTACTTTTGATTGTTGAATGTCTCCAAACTCCACTTAATATGACTACTCTCTGGGTCTTGAGTTTTTTTCTTTCCACATTTTTCTACTAAACTTGATAGATGAGGACTCAGCTCTCCATCTTCTCTTCCTCCATGGGCCCTTTGTGTTTTTTCTTCTGGGAACCATTACCAACTTTCCATCCCTTCTTTTCCACTAAACATATGTTGCAGTGACCACACAGTTAGAAAATCTCTTGCTTTATGTATATGGAGCTGGACACTCACGTGCATCTTTTCTGACTGTAAATATTTTTTTCCTTTTTGAATCTGGATGTATTTTCTACCATTGATTCAATCTGAACCACTTCAATTATAGAAACATAAAATCCACATGGGACTCCTTGTGTGTGTGAAATGGAAGCCTCATCAAATATTAAACCACACACACACACACACACACACACACACACACACACACACACACCACCTGAGTCTCCCTTTTATCCCAGTAACAAGGGTGAGAAACTCTTTGAAATCCTCCTGAATTCCATGTAAATGACCAAGGCAGTTAGGTAGCAAGTGATCTTCAAAGCAGGCGCATCCTTCCAATGAATGTTTGCACTGATTTCATTATTCCTCAAGGCTCACTGATGCCAGAAAGAACAAAGAGATAAGGGGAAAAAGTATCTCTTTGATTGCCCCCCTTGGTGTGTATTTTAGAGGGAGGGTGTGATATTGGACCAATTCTCTGGTCATTTAGGGACTTTCCGACATTCTATGTTAGCATTGGTTAAGAATAGGAACTTCACATGTGTTGGTGGGTGGGGTAAGGACAAGCTGAATTACAGGGTCAGATGTCCCCATGTTCTATCTGCTGTTTGTTACTCGATCTTTATGACATTGGGGATTAAGCTGTGTAAGAGGAGGTTAAAGGTTAGGGGTGCAGTTCAGTGGTAGACAAGTGCTCAGCACTCACTAGGCCCCAGATTTAATCTTCAAAACCACAAGTAGAAACCAGCAATAAACATACAAACAAGAACTCCACAAAAAGATTAGAAAGAACCAATAGTTATCTTGATCTAATATCAGTTATTGTTTGAACTTCAAACGATTAATCCTTGGTGCTGTAATGGTCAGTGCTTTCATCTTTAATGTGATTTTTCAGTTTGTGATTTTAATTTGTAATAGAAGAAATGCATCCTCAAAATGCAAAATATGAAACTCTGGAATTTGATGCCTACAATCCCCCAGACTCCTTATTGTCACAGCAAAGACTGTATCTCAAAGATGTTCCAGAACTGAAGGCCCCACAGGACCATCTTGGCCTTACCATGCTATAGAAAAAGAAACTAGAAAAGGTGTTCAATGTGTATTAAATAAACAGTATCAGCTGCCTTACTCAGGGATTTCCTAGCAGTTGGGGAGGAGGTTGGTGTTCAATGGTGTGGTGTGTGTGGTGTGTGTGTGTGTGTGTGTGTGTGTGTGTGTGTGTGTGTGTGTGTCAGGGGGCAAATTAAGCTAGTGTTTTTTTGGTGGAAGCAGAATACCAGAATAACATACGACCTTTTTCATTATGGAGAAAATTTTTCTGACACTTAAATTCTGGTATTTAAAAAATTATTATTAAGAAAATGATTGTTAAGAAAACTTAACAGGAAAACAATTTATTCATTAACACCTAAGGAGAAATGGTTTTGTTATTTTAATCTAACTACAGAGAACTCAAAAGAACACAGAACCTTAACTGTTTTGGCAAGAGGAAGCCATAATTTAGTTTGTGTGCTGACCCAACTCTGGTGAATACTAGTAGGCTATTTACCTCCGTTCTGTCCTGTAGACATATAGAGAGAAGACGTGTAGCAAAAAGAAACAGGTAAAATCAATTTTAAAAGTATATATAGTTCAGTTACCACAATAGATTTAAAATAGTTTTCATTTCCATATATAATGTGAAAATGTTTGTTTGTATGTATGTTTGTTTTGTTTTGTTTTGTTTCCCCATCTTATTCTGTCTCTGAATTCTAAACATGTATTCGACACTGGTGACCCAGCTTAAGTTAGACATTACAATTTCAGTGGTTAAAATGACATTTAACCTTACCCAAACAACACACAAGCTGTAGAATATCTCGAAAAACCAAAAAAAAAAAAAAGAAAGAATATTTAACATAACTTTAGTTTTAAATTTCAAATTAATTCAAATGGAAAATATAATAAAGATCACATCCTCACTCACTGTAACCACACGTTTGGCGGTTGCATGTGGCTGCTGGCTGCTATCAGTTTTCTCCAAATGCTATTTCCATCGTGGCCCTAATCAAGCCTCTCTCCAATCCTCCAGCAAGAACTTCCTGGGTTGGACTGTTTCCAGCTCTGAGCTGAATTACATTGTTGCCAAATTCATGCTGAAGCCCAACCCTCAGCAGCTCACAATGGGGCTGTCTGTGTTCCGGGAAGGGTATTTAAAGATGCGATTAAGGCAAAAATGAGGCATCTGAATGGTAGCTTCTTCAGAGAGGGGATTTGGACACACAGACTCCAGAGGTGCTTGTACACAAAGAAAAGCCAGAGGGACAAGAAGGCTGGCCACTTGTGGCCCCAGGGGAGAACGCCAACCACTGACTTCTGTTGCATAAGCCACCTAGTCTATTGAATTGTGTTGTGATAATGCTAGCAAAGTAAAAAAGTAACCAAGCATGTGGAGGGTAAATAAAGTTCATATAAGCGCGCTAGTCTTTTGGAAGTATACCTTTCTTTTAGCCACTGGCTTCAGATTTAGATATATCCCAGGGATTCCTAAAACTTGGATTTCAGAACCCATTTTAAGAAAGCAGGTCCACAGGCTGCCGGATTTGGTTTGTTTCTTTAGATGGCCTTGCATTCATCCTTCATCAGCTTGCTGGCTAGGATGTTGTGTCAGTTTTCCTTTTGGAAGCTGGTGGGTGAATGAGACGCACCCCCAAATCATAAACACACAGCTTTGAGGTTCAGAATGAAGTGTCTGCACCCATCAGGTGGAGTCTCTTGCCTTTGTCCAACACAGCCATTCAGCTTCTTCATGATGACCAAAGTTTGTTAATAACATTTGTGCCTATGCTAATACAATCAGAAAATTATGCAGCCTGTCTGCTTCCTCCCAGAGAGAACGGGGTGATCAGCCATTAGTGATTCACACTGATGAGCCTCTACTAATTGCGTAGAATGTAATTAGTGATTATATAATATTTGAGCTCTTGCAACTGTCATTAATGTCCACAATTCACCAGAGATGGGCCCTGCTGAATGGAGTATGATTGCTGCATGCTAAATCTAGTTAATCTGAGGTATGGTAATCAACACCGGGTGCACTTTAGGCAGTGGTTAAAAGCACTGGTGACCTCGAGAGAGAGAGAGAAAAAAAAAATCTCACCCCTGCCACCTACCAAAGTCTGAACTGCATGCAATAGAGATCTCTTTCAAAGAGGAATTTAATTATGAAATGGCCTGGAAAACTCAAGGGCACAGTTATTGCATGGCTTTAACCCCTTTAGATTTTTATTTTTTGTAACAGATACAGTGATCAAAATGTTGTATTGGTGCTGATATTAATTATGACACATTAGATTATTGACTCAGGTTGTGTTATATGTTAAAAGTTCTGATGGTTTTTACCACGTGGCTAAGAACTGGATTAAGAAATAGTTCCTGAGGAGCAGGAGAGGTACTCAGCATTTCAGAGCCCGCACTACTCTTAGAGAAGACCTGAGTTCAGTTCTCAGCACCCTTATCAGGCAGCATATAACCACCTGCAACTCCAGCTCCAAGGACTCCCACACTTCCGGCCTCCATGGGCACAGGCATTCATGTGCATATAACCCAACACAGAACCCCCCCCCCACCACCACCACCACACACACATAGTTAAGAATGAAATAAATCTCAACAAAGGGAAATAGTGCTAAGGTGTGGTTCAGCGGCAGAGAGCAGACAAGCTTAGGGTGTGTGAGGTCCTGAGCCTGATACTCAACTAGGAAAGAAAGAAAGAAGAAACAGAAAAGATTCTTCCTGAAAGGAAAGCTGGCTAGATGGCATATGGGGTGCGGGGGTGAAGGCCATGCAATCCACAGGGTAGAAGGAGAGAAAAATGACCGCATGCTGTTCTCTGACTCCATGTAGGCCTTGTGGCATGGCTGTAACACACGCACTCAAGTGAGCACAGAGTTTAAATGCCCCTCAAAAGGGCCATGTGTTAAAGACTTGTTCTCCAGTGTGGCATTAGAGAGAGATGGTGGAACATTCCAGAGGTCCAAAGAAAGTCTGGTCATTTAAAGGCCATGTCTTTGTAGAGGATCATGGGGTTCCAGCTCCCTTCTCTTCCTCCTTTTTTCCCCCATCCCAGTTACAAGTGGTTTTGCTGTGCTCCCCACCAGGATGTGCTGCCGCCTCAGGCTCAAAAGCAGCAGAATCAACTGATGACAGACTGAGATCTCTAAACCCATGAGCCGGAACAGTTTCTGCTTGTAAGTTATCTCAGCTCTTTGTCAGAGTGATGGGAAGCCCACTGTTCCGTGTGGTCCACAGGTTGATCTATGGCAGCCATACTGTCAGTTTTGAATGAGTAGGTTTAAGTGCACAGAAAGCAAAAGTAAATGAATAAATGGCAAGTAGCAGATAGAAGGAGGAAGTATACAGGGAAACGCCATCAAAGCAGGAGTTCACGACATCTGGCCTGGAAGGAGGAAGTATACAGGGAAACGTCATCAAAGCAGGAGTTCATGACATCTGGCCTGGAGCAGGCTGACTGAGAAAGCAAATGATGGTAAACTCAGGTACTTACAAATGCCCAGAAGAAACTGACTGGGGAAACTGAAGCAGTCAGCTGGAGTTTCCAACTGAGCTTTCTCTCCATGGATGAGTTTTTCATGGCTGAACTTCCGGCTTCATGCTTCCACTGCAGGCATTTTTATACCGTGTGATAAACAGCAGCAACCTCTGTTGGAAATGACTTCCCTTATAGCTATTTGCAAAGACACATGTTCTTTTTTTTTCTTTATTAAGAAATTTTCTACTCACTATACATACCACCCACAGATCCCACCTCCTCCTTCCTCCCACCCCCCAGCCCTCCCTCCCAAGCCACCCCACATCCCCACATCCCCCAAATCAAGGTCTCCCATGGGGAGTCAGCAGATCCTGGCACACTGAGCCTAGGCAGGTCCAAGCCCCTTCCCACTGCACCAAGGCTGTGCAAGGTGTCACACCACAGGCACCGGGTTCCAGAAGCCTGCCCATGCACTAGGGATGGATCCTGATCCCCCTGCCTGGGTGCCCCCCAAACAGTTTGAGCCAAACAACTGTCTTCTGTAACCAGAGGGCCTAGTCCAGTCCCATGAGGGCTCCACAGCCACTAGTCCACAGTTCATGGGCTTTCACTAGTGTGGCCGGTCATCTCTGCGCATCTTCCCATCATGATCTTGACGTCCCCCACCTGCAGAATCCCTCCTGTCTTTCATTGATTGGATTCCCGGAGCTCAGCCTGGTGCCTGGCCATGGATCTCTGCATCTGCCTCTATCAGTCACTGGACAAAGTCTCTATGATGACAGTTAGACAGGTCACCAGAGTAGACCAGTCCAGGCACCCTCTGGACCACTGCCAGCAGTCCAAGGTGGGGTCATCCTTGTGGATTCCTGAGAGCCTCCCCAGCACCCTGCCTCTTCCTATTCCCATGAGGTCCTTATCTATCATGGTATCTCCCTCCCTGCCCCCCACCCCACTCTGTCCCTGTTCCAGCTCGACCCTCCCATTCCCCTATGTTCTCATCCCCCACTCCTCACCCCTGTCACACACACACACACACACACACACACACACACACACACACACACACACCCCCGCCCCATTCCCAGTTCACTCATGTAGATCTCATCCCCTTCTCCTTCGCCGCTGGACCATCCATGAAGACACATGTTCTTACCCGTGGGATGTTTTCTATTTTCTTCCCTCCCTGTCATAGAGTTAGGGAGACCAGGCCATTTTGTGGCAAAAGTCTTGGAGGATACTTCACAAAAGCATGTTTAGATCTTGTGTGTGTGTGTGTACAAACTCCACTTCTAGAGCCAGTTTCTCAGTGAACTCAAACTAAAACAGCATGTAACACTTTACTGATGTAGTGTACACTATACTAACACCCCCCCCACACACACACATTCTTAGAGGGCCTCCAGCACCACCAAACTCTATTTGTGCCTACTAGTAACAAACTCATAGATGATGTCTTTTCTGGCTCTTCTACATCTCCATTTCACTTTCTGACTCTTACTTCTCAGAGTCACTGCATCTAACCTCAAACCTTTGCCTAGGTTCTGTTTCTTCCTTTCCATCCTATCTCAAGACCCTCTCACCCTAAGGGGCTATAACCAACCGCAAGGATGTCTAGGAGCTACTTCTACAATCAGCAAACTCCAAGTAGTCTTTTCCTTAATATATTGTTTTTACCAATCAGTTTGTGCACATTGAAATCTTTTATGCTAGCTGTAATCTGTGTATTAAGTTGCAGAACCGATTGATAGCTGTGGAATTCCAATGTGGAATCACTACTGGTTTGTAAATTTCCAAGGGCTGAACCTTGGAAACAGGGTCCCATTTTTCAAAAGATAATCAGGTAAGTGTAGACCTTGAGGAGAATAGCTTGTGATTGAGGTAATCTCTTTCCAGGTGTGCACTTTATGAAAAACGGAAAATACCAGCATCCTTGCTTTGTAAGGTGCTTCTTCCTGGTTATTTGAGCAGGTCAAATTCCTCCAGGTATGTGTTTTGGGACTCTGGGAAAGTTCTGCTGAACAATAATGATGACAGGGATTTGCATGATATACTTTGGGTCAAACTTTGTGTTATATGAATTATCATGGTTCTCAGTTACAAATGGGGAGTCTTACCTAAGAACATCTAACCTATAAATGATGAGGAAGAAAGTTGGCAATGATCCGACTTGCCTGGAGGCCAACATTGGTTTTTGAGCCAGAAGATCAAAGCTATCAGCATCCCTTGCTTCTGTTTCTCCTTCATGGCTTGCATGGGGTTAAGGAGCAGTAGACAGCAGCAGGCAATTGTATTTGCCCAGGTCTTCTCATTTACATTGCCCCTCCCCCAAGCACTGCAAATGTCTTTGTCCATAGGCTGCCCCTAAGACTTTTTTACATCTTTGGTCAGTGGAAGTACCAGGAATTTTTGTCTGTGTAGGGCAACTCTTACAGGGCTATAAGAATGGTGGTATGTTTGTCCTGCTGTGGACATGTTGAAAATGGACCTATACTGTTTCCATACCTCCCGGGGTTGGACTCAAGCAAAGTTACCTCCGCAGAGAATTTGCTTGACACTTTACCTTGCATGTTTTCTTCCATGTCCTGCTTCGCACCCTTCCATCAGTCTTTAATTGACACTGACACAATGCCTCATCCCAGGGAATGCAACTGGAGACCTGATCCTAACACAGAACCTAGGAAAAAGTCTATTAATTCTAGAAGCCAAAGTCACTCAGAAAAAAACAAAAACAAAAACAAAAAAAACTATAAGACAAACTTGAATTAGGAAGTGTGAACAAGGTTACCCATTTTTTGAATACAGTTGGAAAGACTTTACATGTCCTAGTTAATTGATTAACTCAACAAATTATGGCACATTCATTCAGTGGAATATGAAGCCACAACAATGAAGCTATCCCACTTTCACCTAGCGAGAAGTAAGCTCAACCTATTTGATTGAGAGGGAAAAAATGAAAAGAAAATGTGCAAAACAGAAGGTACAGAATAAGAAGGTAAATGAACTCTTAAAATGTTGGTATTTGTTATAAACATGTAACTTAAAAGCACAGAACACAGACGAGTGAGATGACTCAGCAGGTAAAGGCATCTGCCAGCAAGGCTGATGACATGGGCTTGATCCTTGAGACCCACATGGTGGTGAAGGAGTGAACTGACTTCTGCAGATTGTCCTGTGACCTCTACATGTGTGCTGTGGCAGGCATACCTACACACAGAATACATAGATTTAAAAAAAAATGAATCTGAGACTGAATTTGAAAGAGTATACATTCATAAAATAGAGAAAAGTAGCCAAGCTGTCAAACAAAACTTTGCTATTATTAAAATGAATAACATGCTCTGAAAAGATCAGAAATGTAAGATGATTCCTGACCTCTGTAAATAAAGGAGTGCAAAGGGAAAACAACAATAGACACATAGGTTAGTGTAAAAAAGGAATGGTTTTGCAAAGGTATCTGATGAACTGAAATCTTCTATGAGATCGTAAAGGTGATGAAAATGCCTGGCATCCCAAACTTACTGCAAGAAGAGATAACTCCAAAGTGGTTTCTTACCCATAGTTTGGGGAAACATTTCAATTAATCCTAAAGAAAATAGGAGAAAGGAAATAGTAAAGACAACACCAGAAATTAAATAAGAAAGAGGTATAGAAGAAAACCCAACCATTTAAACAGTTAGTTCAATGAAAAAAAAATGATTAAAAAGCTTTCAACTTCTAGCAAGACTTATCAAGAAGAGAAAAATGCTACAGCTCATTCAAAATAAGCATGAGAAGGAATGTGTTTACCACTGCCTTTCTGCACCCTTTTGTCATCCTCCCCCCACCAGATCAGCGTGTCTCTCAACAATCATCTGAGAAACGTCTATTTCCAGCAGATGGTGATTAACACAGAGATTCGCAAGTGCAGAGAATAAGAGACCACTGACTGGTCAGCCCTAAAGGGAACATATATACCACACCCTGCCCCCCAAGACTCGGGGATCATTGTGGGAGAGAAGGATGAATGATTGTAAGAACTGGAGGAGGTGGATGAGTACATAGAAACATCTGGCCACATCAGGGCAGTTGTAGGATCTCACATCAATTGCAACAGCATGCATAAAACCTGTGCAAATCCAAGTCAGACCAAATCCCTACATGGAGAGGGGAGTTCAGCATACAATCCTATTCCTAGCCGTGGATGGAATGGTGACTGCTAGCTTCTGGGCATAGGAGAGACAGCTTCCTCTAAGAGTCTTAAGAGTCCTGGGATACACTGACCACTCTCCAGTGCAAGATCACATGCCCAAGAATATTTGGGCAGCATGCATTGCTCTAGAAGTCATAAAAAAAGAAAAAGACACAAAGTTGCATGGGGCAGGGATGGAGATTGGATCTGAGAAGTGTTGGTGGAATGAATACGATCAAAACATGTACGAAAGTCAAAGCTCTCAAAGAACTAATAAAAAATAAGCAGAATGTTATTACTAGAGAGCCTTTAAAGAGATCAGAAGCAAATATTTTGAACAACTTATCCCAATATACATCTAGAGAAATAGTACAAATTAAAAAAAAACTATGAAAATGAATACATGAAGAAACAGAAATTTTAATTATCTTCTTATATCTATTAAAGAAGTGGAATTCATAATTTGGTTTTTAACACAGGGTCCCATTTGCCCCAAGCTGGCACTGAATTCACTATGTAGCTGGAGACTACTTTGAACTCCTGTCTTCCCGCCTTCACCCCGAGAGCGTTGGGATACAGTACATATCTTACCCATTTTATACTGTGCTCAAGATGGGCTTCATGCATGAAAGGTAATCGATCACCCTACCAACTGAGCTACAAATTCTTAATTTTGAAAACTTCTCAATAAACATCAGAAGAGAGGGCTTCATTGTTGAAATCTTCCAACATTTACAGACGGTATAATGCCAAACTCAGTTACGGTGCCTGGGCCTTGCAGAATTGGTTTGCCATGGATCCTGAGAGTGTCTGTTTATCCCTGTTGTCTATCTGCTGTACTAAATCTGCTTCCTGTGCTAAATCTGCCTTGCCTGATTTATGGGAATGTTCTGTGTCAGTGGGCTTATGCAATTGACAGAAAACCTTTGCAGAGAACTTTTCTAGTCTAATAATGTGTATGTATCTACGTCCCACAGAAAGCCTCGCAGTTAATGGTGAGTTCCTGAGAGCTTTCCTTCTGTAATTGGGAATGAAAGAAGGATGCCTGCTGGCACCCCATTTCTTTAGTATCATAAGGTAGTTCTGGTCAGTGCAAATTGGAGAGAAAAAGGGAGCTTACGAATGTTGGAAAGGAAGAGAAAAAGAAAACAAGAAGAATTAATAAAACAGATGACACAACTGATACATAGAAAAGCAGAAGCAGTTTACAGGTAATTACAGTTAATACATGGGCTTAGTAAGACCAACCAGCCTTATCCCCAAGACAGTACCAAGGATCAGATGTGAGCTTTTAAAGAATTGTACTATTTCTGATACCATTTAAGATAAAATACTTAGTAATAAAATATGGATATGCAAGAGTCCTACAGAAAGGACCATGGAAACTGAGAGAATTCCTAATGTTGTAAGGATGCTAATTCTTTCTAGTCATCCAAAGATTCAATGTAAAAACAGAAGCTGTGTGTGTGTGTGTGTGTGTGTGTGTGTGTGTGTGTGAGAGAGAGAGAGAGAGAGAGAGAGAGAGAGAGAGAGAGAGAGAGAGAGAGAGCGGGGGGGGGGGATACAAAGAATCAAGAATAGTCAGGGGAATTGTTAAAAACAAAGTTCACCTAATTACTGGTGTGTTCTAAGACCACATGGAAAAGATGCAAGATGCACAAACAGATCAGTGGAGCCCAAGGCCCAGAGCAGACTCACACATACTTACACTTTTGACTTTGGTGGAAGAGTGTCACTGGAACTCAATAGGAAAAAGATGGTATCTTCTACAAATAAACCTGGGTTAACTAATTACCCATAGGAGAAAAAAAAATCATTGGCTCCTCCCTACATCACACATAAAGATAAATTCCATCTGAATCATACATCTCAAAATGAAAAAATAAATTGCTTGGAGGATAAAGACATTTGCTGCCAATCCTGATGACCTGAGTTTGATCCCCAGGATCCGTATGGTGGAAGGAGAGAACAGACTCCCCAAAGTCATCTTCTGCCCTCCACATATGTGCCAATACATAGACAACCCCCACAGACACACTCACATGGGCATGCACACACAAAATAAATAAGAATGTAATGCAAGTAGCACAATGGAGTATCTCTGTATCCTTTAGAAGGATAAAATTTCTAAAATGAGTGTAATAATAACCAGTTATGGGCAGGAGAGTTGACTCCGTTATACAAGTACTTCAGTTCTCAGCACCCACATGGCAGCTCACACCTGCTTGTAACTCCAGTTCCAGGGGATCTAGTGCTTTCTTCCAGTCTCTTCAGGCACTAGGCATACTCACTATATACTTACATACATTCAGGAAAAACATCCATTCATACATAAAGAATAGAAACAAATCCTTAAAAAAATCATCACTAGTGTGCTGGCTAGTTTTATGTCGACTTGGCACAAGCTGGAGTTATCTGAGAGGAGGGATCTCAATTGAGAAGATGCTTCCATAAAACCCAGCTGGAGGGCATTTTCTTAATTAGTAATTAATGGGGAAGGGCCCAGCACATTGTGGGTGGTGCCATCCCTGGGTTGGTGGCCCTGGGTTCTACAAGAAAGCAGGCTGAGCAAGCCACAAGGAGCAAGCAAGTAAGCAGCACTCCTCCATGGCTTCTGCATCAGCTCCTGCCTCCAGGTTCCTGCCATATCTTCCTTCAGTGATGAATAGCGGTCTGAAAGTATAAGCCAAATAAACACTTTCCTCCGCAACTTGCTTTTTGGTCATGGTGTTTCATCACAGCAATAGAAACCCTAACTAAGACACCGAGTTATAAAAGAAAGGAGTGAAAAGTCAAGCCACAGACAGATGAAGAA